AGTAATTAAACTTAAAGTGGCACCTTTATACTGTCAATAGACAAACTTTTATAAAGATATATCATCTATTTGTTGGGGTGGTTGTGAGAATAACTTCACATTATTAGGCACATTAAAACAAAATGTGGGGGACTGCCTAACAGTTCAGGCTTTTGGGAGAGAATTAGATTCTTTTTTACATCAATGAAACCCAACCATCCATCCACAGTTAACTGCTGACAATTTTTGCATATCTGCCCAACAATGAACTAAATGCTGTTAGTTGTGGCATGAGTGGAGATAACACAAATGGATAACTTGGCACATTTACTACAAAGAAACTATCTCAGTAGAGTTCGGATAGCTGCATTACTAGAAAAAGTAACATGCAGAGTTAAATATGTGAAAAGCGGGGGGAAATCAGACTCTTCTGAAACAATATGATATTCACTTTTCACCTTTATTAATTGAAACTGTCCTACCTTTCGACCTTTGTATAATCAAATGAGATTTTGGAAAGATATGATTGCTAGTGTAGAAGATGAGTAATGCCTGCAAAATATAGAAACACATATGATACTAAAATTTAAAAGATGAATGTCACCCCAGAGACAGCAATTAAATATAATGACCTGTAATTATTTTCAAACTAATTATTATGGGCAACTGATCATACACTATGTTTGCATTTAATGTTTTTGTCCAACATCCCAATCATGCCAATGTAACCACAAAAATGAAGAAAGGGGCTGGGGCATATGCATCAAAGGACATAAACTCTGGGAAGCTTAATAATACCTGAACTTGCATGAAAAGGTTTAGATGTTTTCTTCTCTCATTCAATAACTCCACTTCGGTCTATTTTGGAAGCACAGGGAACTTTGTTTAATATCACAGGAAGCCAAGGTAAAAACGCAGGCTAAACTATATTAATACACAGTTAAGTCTACATCCAAAGGGAAGCATGGCATTCTCCTTGCATTATCACAGAGATATCCATAGCATCAAGGTCATATCAAACAGATTATGTATATGGAAAAATATGAATCCCACCACAGATGAAATCAAATAAGAGACAGTGCCAGAAGCTGAAACTCTCAGGTCATATAATATTCAACAAGCTACTGGGGAAGAGCAGAGAATGAGTACAAGTTGCACTGTGGCTAATGACACAGCTGGACTCAAGCCGAAAAGACGTTCAGGTGTTGATGTGTTCAGAGATGGAAAGAAAGTCTGTAGCTGCACAACACATATTATAGCAGTGCTTCTCCATTATTTTCTGTCACACACACCCCCCAGGAAAGAAGAAAACATTTCGCGCCCCCCCCCGCGTGACTGTAAATAGTCACACGGGCGGGTTTGGCCAATCAGGATAGAGCACGTCGGGCTGCTACCGGGGGTGTGCTGGGACAATCTCCAGTGTTCGCGCCCCCCTTTATGGAGACTCGTGCGCCCCACTATTTGAGAAGCACTGTATTATAGGAACATGGAATGTGGGAAGCATGAATCAGAGAAGCTAGACATAGTAAAACAAGAAATGGATTGTATAAACATTGAAATACTTGAGATGAGTAATTTGACATTTTGAGTCAGACATTTATGGTGTTTTACTCAGGAAATGAAAATCTAAGAAGAAATAGGGTGGCAGTAATAGTGAGGAGAGATGTAGCAAAAGCAGTCAAAGTCATTCTTGCAGGGGAACCATTCCAGACCCCTCCCCTGCAAAAATGGAAAATTGCGTGTATTCAAGCCCCACTGGCTTGAATGGAGGGGCACCCCTACAGGAGCGTACACCCCATTTTATCCCCCTCTGTTCACCCCTCACGCATAAGCGAGGGATGTGGATCTCAAGTCCACGAGAATGGAGGGGCAACTGTAATGCAAAGTCTGACTAAGTAATATCAATAAGACTGCAGGGAAAGCCCCTCAGTATAACTATAACCCAGGTTTATGCTTCAACTACAGATGCAGAAGTGGGAGCAATTGAAATATTATGAGCTGGAGTCTAGGAAGAAATTAATCACACACCAAAAGAGGACACATTGATAATCACAGGTGATTGGAATGCAAAAGTAGGAAATAGAGCAGAAACAAACATTGTAAGAGAATTTGGCCTAGGATCAAAAAATAAAGCAGGAGAACAACTGATTGAACTTTGTGAAGCCAACAGTTTGTTCATCGCAAACACATTTGTCAGGCAATCAAAGAGGCCCAATATAGAAACCCAATAAAACTATTAGAACTAGTAACTACCCAAGATCTTCAAGTGTAAAGATATATCACTAAATACTACAGTCTGGATTACTCATGCCATTATATTTCCAGTTTCTCTGTATGATTGTGAAAGTGTGACAGTGAAAAAAGCTGATAAGAAGCGAATCAATTAATTTGAAATGTGGTGCTGGAAAAGATTTCTACAGACACCCTGTACTGCCAAAATGAAAATGAACGGGTCCTAGAGAAAATCAGACTGAACTCTCTCTAGAAACCAAGATGATTAAACTGAGATTGTAATATTTTGGCCATATCATGAGAAGGCATGACTCACTAGAAAAAGCAATAATGCTTGGCAAGGTGGAAGGCAGTACGAAAAGAGGAAGAGCACAAAACAGGTGGATAGACTCAGGAAGCTATGACCCTGAATCTGCAACACCTAAACGGGGTTGTTAATGACAGGATGATCTGGAGGTCTTTCCAAGGGTCACCATATATTGAAATCAACTGGACAACAGTTAACAACAACATGGGGACTACTTCAGACATTACCCTTAAAGCAGTTTTTGTTCCCATCTGTTTGTAATGCACTTGTAAAAATTGTATTGTCCAGTACTGAGTAAATACACTTAAACCTTACCTCTAGAAATTCTACACCATTTATGATCCCCAATCTTTAGACCTCCAGTGGTCAGGGACTTCCAGCACTCCTGACCACTGTACATGCTGGCTAGACCTTCTGGTAGCTGAAGTCTAAAATATCTAGAAAACCAAAAATTGAGAAGCACTGTGATTAATCTCCACACACTGAGCAACAACAAATAGTCCAACATGAACATTTACATCCTTTAGTAGTTACAAATCAGAGATTATGGGGTTTTTTCTTCTACGAAAAATGAATATAATAACATGCTGAAGCCTTCTGTTGCTAAGCAGCAGCAGCATGGTTTTACTCTGGATCACAGAGCACTATCCTGCCATGGCTCAGTTCTGTATGGTTTCATCATGTCATTATATCCACATGCCTCTTAAAAGTAATTTTCCACAACCTGCTCCAAATATAATATCAGTTGCCCACTGCAGTTGCCTCTTTCAGTACAAATAGGTACAAATCCTTTCTGTTGGGCTTTTGGGGTTTAATTAATATATAAAATCAAGTTCCTCTTCTGGAAGTCGCATATGGTTGACGAGAGGTAAACTTTAATTAGTGTGCCTGTGCCATTCCATATGTCAACTGTTTGCTCAATTAGGTTTTGCAAGGAAGTGCATGAAGCACTTCCCCACATCTGTAATTTCCTTTCATCTGGGATGCACTGTGGCTAATCAACACTCTAATCAACTGGATCCAGTTTCCTGTTTAGTATAAGATATATATGTGTGTGGGTAAAGTGTACGCTCTGCACTCCCCTCATCTGGTACAAATGTGTCAGTGCAAACCCATTCAGCCCAGCACATGTGAAAGATACACTCCCTTCTCTTCCAAGTACCACCTTCTCTATATGCTAATTTTTAAACATGTATGCTTGATTCCCTTCCACAAACAGCCCTTGCTTATTTCTGTGTGTTTTTGCTTTGGGGGACAATTGCCAGAGAGCAAAGAGGAAGCAAGTTTTGTATACCCTGCAACATTTCACAGATGAAAACCAAGACATGTGTGGCCAAGCAGCATCATAGTGTGACTGAGCAGGAGTGGTACCCCTTGAGATCCTCTACACTGCCAGCACCCACTGATTCCAACCCCCCTTTTTCTAGTATTTAATGGGAAATTACTTTGGAGTTCCACTTGCATTTTCTGTCAGATTCTGCAGAGATTTATTTTTTCCCCTCCCACATTGTGGGGAAAATGAGACTGAGCAAAAGCCATGTGAAAAGAGTGTGGGAAGAAGGAGTCTTTTAAAGGAAAGGCTTTATTCTAAGCAAGAAATCTACATTAGCAAAAGGATATGTCTCTTCATGAAGTTACAAAATAGTCTATATCATATTCAGCCAAGACCACAAAATAAACGTAAACCCTAATGCATTAAACTAAATATTCCCTATCTACTCACAACCCAATGGAGATTCTGGGCTTGGATGTTCCTGTGGAGGGTGGCTACAAGTTTAGGGCACAGGGTCTCATCTGACCAGCTCCCCTCGGTACAGTGGGCACTTTGCTCTGAGTCTCTCTTTGTCCTCCTTTGTTACCTTTTTATGATCATCTCAGGCTTTTTAAAACTTCCCCTGAAAACATCTGGAAACTTCTCCCAGGCTGCCATGTAAGCCCACTAGGTGACCTTGGCCACATCACACTCTCTCAGCCTCAGGGAAGCAATGGCAGTGAGATACTGGTCATCTGAATTCTCATGATCTCTGATGGCCCTCTATGTAGAGGACCTCCATAAAATGAAACTAAACTCAACTCCTCATTTACCCTTTTTCACCTGGAAGGAAGACTATTCTTTCAGCTGGGCTGCCCATTGCTTTTACATTAGCCTCCTGGGAAGGGCAAGATTCTTCCCCTCTTCTTCTCTCTTCCCTGCTGAGTTAATTGGAGTGCAAACTCCTTTTGCACTTTCTACTTGGTTTGCAGCAATTGAGAACAAAGAGGGAAAGTGGGAGGAGGAAAGAGAAACTCGGACATTTTAAAATCAACTGGAAAGATGGGATCACACAGGATCTATTGGACCTGTCCCTGACAAATCAAGACAGTTGGAGAATATGGTTTTGTTGTGTGCATTTTTTAAAAAAGTTTCTAGATTAGCTGCTGATTATGGGTTATGGGAGCAGTAGTTTAATTCATTAAAACCAGAGTTAATGGGTTATGGAGAGCCAATGTGGTGTAGTGGTTTGAGCATTGGACTATGACTCTGAGGACTAGGGTTTGAATCCCTGCTCAGCCATGTAAGCCCACTGGGTGACCTTGGGCAAGTCACACTCTCTCAGGTTCAGGGGAAGGCAATGGCAAACCTCCTCTGAACAGATCTTGCCATGGAAACCCCACAATAGGGTCACCACAAGTTGGAAACTACTTGAAGTTGCACAAGAAACAACAAAGTGGTTTATGGGAATTCTGTATAATACTCTCCAGGCTCCTGTATACCATTTAATGTGCATTTTATACCAGCATTTTTGTACTAATTTTTTGGTCTTTACAGGCCCATCAAAGTAGTTTACAATAGTACAGTGCAAATATATATATATATATATATATATATATATATATATAT